ACGGCTAAATTATTTTATATGATTTTTTAAAGCCACCACGATCAAATTGACCTAGAAATTCAATTAATCCATAAATCCCAAATCCAATTGAATAGGCCAACTCCAGATTATCAAAACATAAAATGAGGGTCCAAGTTCCACGAAATTTCACAATTTTTCCAAGGATATATCATATATAAAGCAAATTCAAATAGATCTCCAATTAAACACATGAAACCATATTCAATTCACCAAGATCCAATCGAACTCAACCAAAACACAACATATATCATCACATATCAACAAAACAACGAGGGTCCAACCATCCCTTACCGTTCACCACACGTGAGTTCGAGAAAAAAGGAAGGAAGGCTCGGACATGCGCCTCGGACGGCTGAAGCGAGGCCTCGGCGGGGGTGGGATGCGCGCGAGGGAATCGAGGCATGCAAGGGTGTTCTGTTGGTTGCGTGGATGATTGAAACACTGATGGACAGAGGCTGGACGTCGATGGACAGCAGTGAAGGGATGTCGGTCCGCTCGTTGGTGACTCGCAGAGCGTCTCCCGTGCGGTGGTGCGCGCGCCGGTGGGAATCGGTAGCCGAGAAGGAGAGCGGCGATGAAGTTGGGGAGGTTTTTGGTGGATCTTCCTCCAAGTTACGATCAGATAGGATGAGAGGGAGAAGGAGACGAGAGAAAGAGAGCAGAGAGTAGGGTTGCGGCGTGAGATAGAGTGAGGGGGAGACATTTAAATAGACCACAATGCCTAAAGTCGTTAGATTAACCACTTTCCATATTTTTAGGCACAAGAGGGGCTCATGGAACGAGTGAAATAGGGTCTTAGGGTCTGGTTCCTTTAACCATCCAATGGATTAAAAATTGAGTCCACAAACTAAGGCAGAAAAATTAAATCAAAGCATAAGGGGGCGGCCGGTTTTAGTTCGGGCTGGGTTTACAAGGGTCCAAATGGACCGAGATGAACATAAAAGGGTCGAGAATAATAGTATTCAAGGTTTGGGTCTCAAAGGCTCGAAAACGAATCGAAACAGATTTAAATTCGATTACGCGATTAAACCGAAAATCATCGAAACAATTTAAAATTCTAATCAAATAAATTTTAATAATTCTAACACATAAATGAAATAAATAAAAACATAATATTCACATAAATAATGCCACATAGAAATTATATAAATAAGCAGATAAAAGAGACGAGCAATTAATAAAATAACCGGCAAATAAATAAAAGCAAATAATCCATTATATGCAAATAAATAATAATATAATATTCAAAAAGTTCTAATAAATGAACTGGGCGCTACACTATTAATAGTGATATGACATACAACTGCATCATAAAAGCTTGGTCAAAAAAAGTGGACTACAATGAAGCAAAATGATCAACTACTTCATTTGCTTGAGCGCTCTTTAGAAGACCCATTTAAAGGTATTACCATAGTTTTTGTTCTATCTTGTTCGACCAATGTTCGTTTGTGTTCGTTCATCTTCGAAAATAGCTCAATTTTTTTTTTTCGACAACAACACTAACAGTTCCTATAACATACACATGCATTGTATATTTGTTAGGATAATAAAATAAATCCCATTTCCATTTAATGAAATTATCATAGTTTTTGTTATATCTTGTTCGACAAATGCTATTTTGCGTTCGTTCATCTTCGANCTCGTTCTTATAATACACAAGCATTGTATAATTTTTTGGATAATAAAATAAATCCCATTTCCATTTAAAGGAATTACCATTGTTTTTGTTTGATCTTGTTCAACCAATGCTTGTGGGCGTTCGTTCATTTTGGATCCAAACTGGCGGAGGAGACTAGGGTTATATTGTATGTAAAAAATTGACTACACTTTCTTCAATCCAAACTTTATGTTGCCTATTGTGATCGTGAAAGCCTGTCTTCTTGATTTCTGTCTTAGTAGTGTGAAAATATTTTGATCAACACCTATGACATCATTAAATCTTTAAGGGTTTCCCACAAGAAATAAATTAACCCAATTCATTCCCCTGTATGTTGACTGCTAGTATGGGCTTCTTTCAGAAATGAGGATGGCGAAATTTCGTAAATATTTACAAGTTTTGAAATGATCCCCAACCATACAAGATAATTATAACGCTCGAGAGTCATGGAAAGACTCTACATCATTTTCCATATCTTCAGGAAAATCTTCGAGCTCATCCTCGTATACTTCATCATATCTTCAGGAAAATCCTCGAGCTCATCCTCATATATTTCATTTTCTTCTACTACATTAGACATCCTACAAATAATTTTTATTGATCTAACTATTGTAAAAATGACTAATACCGTTAAAACACACATATTTCGTGTCCTTCAACTAGGAGCTGAGCATAAGACTCGGAGAATTCTGAACTGTTCTGAAAACTGAACCGAAATCACTCCGAATCGAAAAATTACCGTTGACCGTTTGACTTTCTTCGAACCGAACCGAAAAAATAATTGGTACGGTTCTGGAGATTTCACAAGTATCCGTACCGAACCGAAGAACTGAAATTTCGAACCGAATTATAACATCAAATGTGTGTTATTAATATATATAATGTCAACTTTGATCCTATATAATTTAAATTAAATACAAATAAAATATAGTAATAACAATTAAGCTTCACTTAAATTTCATGCTTAGTAATACTTGATTTACAATTGAATTTTTCCTGTTATAAAAAATTATTTAAAATGGTATGAAAGGTTAAAGGATTTTTTTAAGAAAATAATATTATATTTTTTTTTTTTTAATTTTAAATTTTCAATATTGATTGCACAAATTTAGTCTTAACTAATATTTAGAGTTACTTCTAAAGTTGATTTTAAAATAAAATCTTTTAATATGAGGAAGTATTGATAAAATGTTGGTTTCTTTGAAGTATATAAAAATTAAATAACTAAAATTTAGAGTTATTTCTTCTAAAGTTGATTTCAAAATAAAATGTTCAATATGATGAAGTATTGATGAATGTTTTTTTAAATCATATACCGATCCGAACCGTTCCAATAGTCTCGAATACAGTACCGAACCGAACCGAAAAATAGAAATCTCTGAACCGAACTGTCCCCATTTTTTGGTACGATTCTGGGGACAGAATTTAGTGATCTCCGAATTTTGGTACAAATTTAAAGATTTCTTAATATTCGAACCGTACCGACTCATGCTTACACCAAATGTAGCTAAAAAAATGTTAAATAAATAAACAAACAAAGAAAGAAGGATTACCGGGGTATTTTGGGCACAACACCTATATAGTTTCATCTACGCTCTCCTCTAAAACCCTAGTCTTCTCCGCCATCAGAAAAACCCCAAACTCTGTCACCAACTCGCAGATCCTCGATCACGCACACACATTCACCACCGGGAGATGGGAAGCGACAGCGAGAACGAAAAGAGTGCGCATAAAGAGAGGGAGAAGAAAAAGCTCTTGGCTCTTGCTCCCATTGCCAAACCGCTCGCCGGCAAGAAGCTCTGCAAACGCACCCTCAAACTTGTTCGCCGAGGTATCCGATATATTTTGCTAGTTTTTATGTCTTTTTTTGTTTATTCAGATTTTTGTGCGTTATGTTTTGAAAACTCAGCTGCCGAGCGCAAGTGCTTGAAGAGAGGAGTTAAGGAGGTCGTGAAAAGTATTCGCCGAGGAAACAAGGGGTAGGCTGACATTCTCTTCTTACAGACCCAGTTTGTTTTCTCTTTTCGTTTATTTTTATATTTTGATTAAATACTTTTTTTTTGCTTGAAAAGAAATGTGACACTGGGGATTTTGTTAGTGTGTGTTGAAATGTGTAAACGTGAAAAATTAGGTAATGGATTTTTCAGAAGATTTTCCAGAGATTATTCCTTAGAGCCGTGCATATGAAAAGTAGTTGAATCAGAGTAGAAATATATGTAACTGCTCTTAAAGTGACAGTTCTTAAGCTTCGAAAGGCATATTTAAGTGGGACATTGTAGGATTTTTAGAGGATTCTTTGTTACAAACTTTGTAACACTTACATTTTATACTTTGTTCGACTTCAAAATCTTTTATATATTTATAATTATGAAGTTTGCATGAAATGCTCAAGAAACATTTTTTTCGTGCATAATACCTAGTCTTAATACAGTCAATCTATTTTTTTTCCCTAAATATTAAACCGAAGTTATTTTGATAGTAAGCACAGACCATGGATAAACAAAATGCTCAAGCAAGAATGAGGCTAATTGTGACTGCAACAAGACTATCTGACTAGATGAGTGCTTCATTTTCTTGGAAATAATTTTTCTTTCAAAAAATTGTATAAATAATGTATGTTATAGATTCTGAAGATAAATCTTTCACTTGTTCAATATTGCTTAAGCTGTTATCTTTGTTTATTAAATTACCATCAGTACACCCTTATAATTGAAATGTCAGCGCATGTAGCTTGAATAGATAGAATATGCAGTTGTTTTCTTTTTTAAACTCAGTGATTGGTTACAATTGAATCCATCACTCACAAATGTAAAATTATTTATATCTATAAGATAAGTGTTCCATTCCATTTTCAGTGAAACACAATATCTGTAATAAATGCATGTTTGGTCTTGTAAAGACCTCAAAACTAAAGAATTTGTGAAACTAATAAATGTAAAGGGTGTGAAGCTTTGGATAGATGTTTTTATTTTTATTTTATTAAATTTTTTTTTNTAATGTTTAACATTATTATTGTATAAACTGTATGTTATCAAGTTTTATATATCAAATGTAATTAGAAGTTAAGATAGACAGGTAGTACTCTATTATATATTGATGAACTGAGCTGTGACACACCTTGAACACCCAATTTTGGAAAGTTAAAATAAACTGACATACAGTAAAGAAGAGGGAAAAGTAAAATCCAAGCACCAAGAATTTTGAGGGAGAAAAATGATGACTGATTTTTCTTCTGTTTATGAAAAAAATTGTCATCAACAAGGCTAATAACTTGATTTAAGCCTAAAGAATCTTTCATGGAGATTTTGGGCGTGTTTGGGCACCAATTTCAAATGGACTTGAAAACTATGTAGATGTCATGGGTTTGGTGCTTATTCTTTAACTGAGTTGCTTGTGGTCTTTTAGTGAAGAAGCTTTTGAATTGAATTACTGCACATCTTGTTTGCAATTTTGGGTGTGTTTGGGCATTGATTTTTAATGGACTAAAAAACTGTGAAAATGTCATAGGTTTGATGCTTATTCTTTAACTGAGTTGCTTGTCGTCTCATAGTAAAGGAGCTTTTGAATTAGTACACATCTGTTTTGCTTAGAGCTTCTAATGTACATGTAACTATGTTTTTATAAACTAAAGTTCATTCGATGAAGTCATACTGTAGTTTGGTTTGCTATCTAAAAATGCTTTGCCAATCTTCTACTATATTTATTTATTGTTTGGAATTATGTTTTTATTTTTTGAAATTCATATCTATATTTATGTATGATTGCAGGTTATGTGTTATTGCTGGGAACATATCTCCTATAGATGTCATCACTCATGTTCCCATCTTGTGTGAAGAAGCTAACATCCCATATGTCTACGTTCCATCAAAAGAAGTAAGTAGTTTTCTCCCACGCCCATGTGGTTTTTTGTAGAAGCAGTGATGTGATTGATGATAGCGTGTGCTTTGAGCTGTGCTTCATTTTGTTTAATTAGGTTAAAAAACTCTTGCTCATTAGACTAACTTTACAAAATAATCCCTGACGTGTATTTAATAAATGTTAAAGTCAACCGATGTTTCTTAAGACATCTTTGACATTTGTATTTTTTTTTTCACCAATAATCGATTATGCTTCTGTTGTCCATTGCAAATGGAGCCGGAAGAGTCATTGTTGACAATTCTCGTGACATAGTGCTAATAATGGACTAGATCAAAATGGCTCAATTAAATTCTAGTGCTACTTCTATTAGTAATAATAGAAGTTTCTAGAAAAAAAAAAATATCAAACGGCGCAATGCACCTTGGGTCGCTACGGAAACAGCCTCCTTGTATAATTACAAGGGTAAGGTCTGCGTACAACTGACCCGCCAGACCCCAACCTGTTGGGAATATACTGGGTATGTTGTTGTTGTTGTTGTAATCGATTATGCTTCTCACTGACTGGTCAAACAAATATTAGATGCTGCTCCCTGTTTAATGTAATGGGAGCTCTAGCAATCGCTAGAAATATTGACCCCCCTGAGAAACTATAGCAATTAATTCTTTTTAATAAAGGAAACCCCAACTTGTGCTGCTCTGTTGTCAATTCTCTAATAATTCGATCAGAATCCAAAAGTAGGGGGAAACATGGTTTATGTTTCTGCTTCTGCCTTTTGGTTTGCAGTAACAGACAATTATCACTCTGCAAGCAACTTAATTATCAACATTCGTATCCAAAAAAACAACTTTTATTAGCTTTTGTATGCCGATGCTCTTGAGTGGTAATTCTCTCAACTATTTTATAGTATCACTCACCGTATTCAAATATCTGTTAGTTTATATGCCTATTCAACATGCATATGCATATTTGCAAATAATATGAAACATTTTTCTCCCAGGATCTTGCAAATGCAGGAGCCACAAAGAGGCCGACTTGCTGTGTACTGGTGCTGCCAAAGCCCACCAAGGGAGAAATAAGCCAAGAGGAACAGGACAAGCTGAAGGGAGAATTTGATCAGGTTGCAACGGATATATCCGAACTTGCTAACTCAATATTTTGATGTTTCTAGAATTAATTACTCTATGAAGTATGTATTTTCAAATTTGTTAGGAATGTGAGCTACGATTGAGATTATGAATTTTGTTCTGTTCATTTTCCTTTGCCTATTCATCACGTCGCTTGGGGATTGTGCTGGAGTTGAGGATCTCCTGCACTTTTTTTTGTCTCTGCTTTGTTGTTGGGGACTTGGGGGTGGAATATAACTTGAGCTCATGCAGTTGAAGATGTCATATACTCACAATACTATTTGTCCAAGTTCTTAAGACTGAAGTAGGAGTGATGGAAGGGTGGTTTGTTTATCATCCCTAGTTTTCTTGGCCAAATGCGACGTTTGTTTGAATTTCACACTTCAGTTGAACAAAAAGGTTTTACCCAAATAATCATTATTGTGCTGAAGAAATATGTGATATTATGATTTGTTTTAACATAATACGAATCTCGTGTGGTGCGATGCACTAGTAAAAAATATTAAAAATTATTTAAAAAATATGATGCTTAGAAAATAATATTTATAAATTAAGAATATTGAATTAATATATAATATAAATTATTTGTATTAATTTATTGGAAATATTAAACGAAATTTAACTTATTATAAATTATATAAATCATTTTTATCTAAAATTAATATACAAACAATGGGGGACACAAAACTGATAGTGAACTAAATTATACTAGTGTTGATACCCTGCGCACATTACAAATTATATTTTTATTTAAATATTATAAAATTATTTAAGACTATGAAATTATATTCTCCACAAATATTCTATTCAGTAATAATACGACATTTATTATTTACTATTATTGTTAATTTTTATTTATATATATATGTATATTTGTATTTTTTGACTATTTAATATATATATATATATATATATATATTTTATTGTTTATAAGTTTATAAAATATTATAAATGTATAAGATTATATAATATTTTCATACAAATTACTTGTATGTACTTATAAAATTGTCGTTTATCATAGTCTTATATTTTTTTCAACAATTCATTATTTGCACATTGATTGATAATTGACCAACGTTTAACCCATAATGTTTATCTTCCGCTATAATTATTAAGTGCATTAAATGTTAAAAACTTTGATAGATAAATTTTAATATTTAGTAAATTTAATCCTTATGCAACACACAAATTTTCAATGGTTAAATTATATATTTTTATTTTTTATGTTTTCATTTTTTATTTATATTTTATTTCTTTAATTCATTTTTTAACCTATATAAGGAGTTGCATAGTATCTATTCGAATATTTAGATATATTATATATTTTCATAATTACCAGTTGCTATAATTTAAATTATTATACATTGCTATTTTATTAACTTATATTTCATTTATAAAATATATAAGAAAAATTATATATTTTTAAAAACTGAATAGTTTTTTAATGTACATATATACTTCTAAGGTGAAATTTATAATTCTGAATTGCATCCCACCATCTAATTGTATTTTTATTAGTACATTGTTTAAATTTTTAATAGTATTATCAATTGTAACGCCCCACTTTATTTTAAAAGATTTATCGAATTTATTTATAAAAATCATAATAAATTTTTCGCAAATCTCAAATTAAATTTTAAACTCAGTCGGCGCTACTTAACTACCAAGAACTTTTAACCGAAATTACAAACATATCAGATAAAATCGGTGCATGTACGATTACTAATTATTAAACTTCACTTGCATTCAATAAGTCCAAAATTATAATGGCAATTCATAATCCAATATCTCAAGTGACGTAATAAAAAATATCCCAAATCAACATAAGTTCATAAAAGCGGAATCAATAATAATCATAAGTAAAATGACATAGACCACCACTCCCCCTGCCTCGTCACCCGCCAACTGCTTAACCTGCATCCGTGAAGAGCAGGTGAGAGTGAGTACAGTTGGAAAATATTGTACTCACACTATGCATATGAAACAACTCAGAATATGTTAGGATGGTATGGTCGCAGCATGAACATAAACAATAAACATCATGTCTCATCTCTAGTCACATCAAAGACTCACTCATGTGCATATCTACGCTCATTAAAGCTCAGGCATGCTGTATCAATGAAACATGGGAGTGTGTGCCACATCAATGGCACGACCTTCTCATAGGTCTTAATGAGATTTACCTCGTAAGGGTAATCGTATTTCATCTACGGGGACAACCGTACCGATGGCCATCAAGCTCACATCGATAGGCTACATGGTCATATGCATACATAGATCATATCGGTTAAACATATTTCAACGCATATATGCACAGGTATTTTAGAATAACTAACCCACTTGGTAAGAATCGAGATAAATCACAAAATGAGTGTAGGCGGCGAGCGCGACTCGTCAAGCACCTACATTTAGTAAAAATAGCCCTATCAAAGACTATTCGACAATCACTTAGTCCAATTAAGCTCATGTAAGTATTTAAGCATGCATTAAATCAAGGAAATCACATTTCCGAAAATATCACATAAGTTTTTGAAAACCTAACCTGAGCAGCGTTTTTAAAACTGACATAATTCTCAGCACACAACTCATATGAACATGAACCAAGTTGCATTGGAACCCTAATACATGTATCTACAATTCTTATGAAGACACCAAAAGCAAATAATGCCATTTGACAGTGATAAATCAGCAAACACTCAAGATAGAGTCACAGTCCAAAACTGGGAATATGAAAATGACCAGAACTCAGTAAATGTTAGCTAACTGGAGCTACAGGCATGCTTTCAATTAGATTCAAGAACCATGATAAATAACTCAAATATCCACAACCTTAATGAAGATCATATTGGCAAATAATCACATTATCAGCGAGTTTAATTACAAAACATTTGATTCAACAAACCTGTCAGAGACTAACATGTGATAAAAACAGCACTTCAGTGTTTGTCATCTAGATAGAGCTACAGACCTCCAAATGACGTTGTTCAAGTCTCCAATCAAACCTGAATCATGCCTCTACAACTTTTATTTAGAACACAAAAGCATATAAGATCATTTGGATAGTGTAAAATCATTTAACATTTAATATCAGGTTTATGCCAAAATACAAAGCCCTATCTCATGCATGTCTACATTCATAAGAACACAACTCGAGCTACAGAGCACATATCATCATAAAATTTATCTCATTTGAAAGATAAGAAATAGACCTATAACTTTCATGAAGAACATAAATTCATACGAGCATATTACGACACGATAAACAGGTCATATTTTAATTACAGACATGCTGCCGGGTAACAGGAAAACTGAACGCACAAACTTCTTGAAAAAATCATAACTTATTCGATATAACTCGGAATCGAGAAAATCCAAAGCCCAGATACAGAAAACCGAACATACCACAATTCATAAGAAGATAACAACTTCAAATTACGGGTTTAAGAGGGTCATAACAGCAGCATAACAGGGCAGTATTTTCGAGACAAATCATGCATTCGAAAAGAACTTCGCCTCTGTTAAACCACACATATATCTCATGTGATTCTCCCAAAAAAGGGCATTAAACAAGCATATTAATGACTAATTACAGCAAAAAAACATGGTTTAATAAAAAACGAACGAGAGCCAAATAATCCACGTCAATTTCACGAGATATCGAACGAATAGACGTAACATATACGCACGATATTTATATGCACTTAAAATCTTTTAACACAAATATAACACGTAGAGAATTAACGAGAGATTGAGTCTCGTTACCGTTCTCGGGATAAGCTCGAAAAAGAACGAGAAAAGAAGGCTCGTCGGAGAAGGAGAGCTTGCGGACAGAACTAGCCGGAAAAGCTTCGCGAGGGGGCAGCGATGACGAGCGGTTGTTCACGGGCCTGCTCACGTGAATCGCCAGCGTTGCTGTGGTCGTCACGGAGGGAAGAGGCTGTCTGAGGTTGCTGCACGGCGGAGGAGAGCTCGCCTGATTGGTTCACAGCGAGGGTTGGGCTCTCGGCGGCGACTTGCGTGGAGGTCGGGGTTACTGGTTTACTGGCGCCGAAAATTCGCCGGAAATGGTGACGTGGAGAAGTTGCGCGGCGGAGGTCGGGGCTTGCTGGTTCACGCCGGCAACAGCTCGCCGGAAGTTGCAGCGGCGAGGCGATGATGGAGGAAGGAGATGATGATGGTCTAAGGTGAGGAAGCTGCACGACGGGGCTCGCTCGTGGCCTACTCGCGAATGGAAAGTCGCCGGAATCGCTGAGCGTGGAGGTTGATGGCGAGAGGATGGTGATCGGAAAAATTGGGAGATGAGGGCAGCGGGATTTATATGAGAGAGGGAGGAAGATGACGCTGAAATTCTTCTCTTCTCTGTTACGTGGGAACGAGAGAGAGAACGGCTGAGGCGTGATTTGAAAAGAGGAGTTATCTCATCCGCATGTATATAGCTGAGGTGAGGGAGAACGTGTGTTCTGTTGAAGAAATTTCTCCCGTGAGATTCGCTCTGGCATTTTCAAACGATCAAATAAAGTTTTATCTGCTTTGGTCGCGCACGATGAAAGGAGCAACTTAATTCAAATGGGCCCAAAATTAATTCAAATGGGATCAATTAAAACAATTTGGGTTGGGGTTAATTAATCTCGAAATGGCTACGGAAAATAATCAAAATCGGCCGGTTCTCTCGGGCTCGACTTGAAAATTATACGAGGCTCGGTTCGACGTGGTGAAAATTAAAATAAAATTCAGATAATATTTTTATATATAATACACACATCATTTAATTAATTAATTATATTAGTAATAGGCATTTAATCATTTAATGACAATTAGGTATTAAAATAGATAATAATAATAATAATAATAATAATAATAAAAACATTAATAATAAATAATAATAACAATAATAATAAATAATATTAATAACAACAATAAATAATTCATAAATAAACGGGGCGCTACATCAATGCATATAATATATTCAATGGGGATGTAGCTATTGGGATGGGATGGCTCCTACTAGCCCCCCCCTAAGAACCGCACGTGCGAGTTCCCCCGCATACGGCTCAAGTGGCGGAGGCCACCTTTTTACAGTTAAATCGACTATATTACAAAATTTTTATTAATATTTAAATTATTTATTAGTTTAGTATTTTTTAAACATAGTTATTCTGATTATTTTATTAATATTTTAAGTACTTCTGAATAGTGAATACAAATAATTAAATTAATACCTACAACCATAGATGATTATATATTTGACCAAATCAATTTCCATAATAATTTTTTGAATTGTGTCAATAAATTACTATTCAATTAATATAAGATCTTATTGAAATATATCTAATAAATCTACGGTCAAAATTTCAATTTAAGCCAATTTGTAGTTAATGAGTAATAGTCATTGAGTGTATAAAAATTAATTATATTTTTCATGCATAAG